TTTGTAATCTCAAATCTATCTTCCCATTTGATTGAGAAACATTCTTGAGCAGAAACCATTTTGGTTTCGCCTCATTCATTACTCTTAGGGTAAAAAAAAAATAATCCACTTTTCGGCCCGTGCAATCCATGTTCTCCCGTCATTCTTTCCTCAGTCTCATGCTTAGCCAGTTCCCATGTATTTTTCCCATGTCATTTTGCCCAGCTTATGTGCGTCATCCTCGTTCATCCTTTCTCGTATCCAGGCTTTAAAATGCGCGTTACTCCGTCCCTCTTATTCACATCTTTTTTCTGGCCTCTTGCCAGACCTCTCTGATACTCGTGCAAAATCCATTATACCTGTATCTCTTTTCTGGGCGTCTTGCCAGACTTTTCCTTAGGTCTACGCAAAGCCAATTTCTCATATCTTTCTTTTCTGAACATCCTGCCAGGCCTTTTCTCAAGCCCATGCTAGGTCAAATACTCATCCATTTGTCTCCTGGACATCTTGCCAGGTCTCTTCTCAAGCTCATGCAGAGTCATTCACACATATTTTCCTCAGCTGGACACCTTGCCAGGCCTTTTCTCAAGCTCATGCAACGTCAATTGCCAGGCCTTTTCTCAAGCCTGCGCAAAGTCAATTACTCATCCATTCTTTTCTTGTGGACATCTTGCCAGACCTTTTCTCAAGCCTGTGCAAGGTCAATTACTCACATTCTTTTCTTCTGGACATCTTGCCAGACCTTTTCTCAATCTCATGCAACGTTAATTATTCATCCGTTTCTCTTCTGGACATCTTGCCAGACCTTTTCTCAAGCCTGCGCAACGTCAATTACTCATCCATCCTTACGCTCATGGTATCCTTCTCTTTTGCACGCTTTTTCTTCGGTAGATGGCACACCTTCCCCCCACTCAAAATCCGATGTCCCCATCGCACGACTACTTCTCACTCGGAGGTACGCAGACCTTGGCCCACCTACTGAGTAGACGGATGCCGGCCCATCAGCCCCAAAAAGGAAGGGTGATCAGTCGTCCCCCTGCTGATAACTCACCTCATCGCGTACTCCAGTCCGACGTTTTGCTGCTTACAAGATGGGCGTCATTACTGAGGTACCACCCCACATCTGGAAGGTAGGTCCAGTTCAAGCCTCCCAGGACCTCATCTTGTCGTAAGTGCTTTCTCGCGAATCGTTCCTCCCGAGCGGTGTTTTCTTGGATCCGGCCTCTTCCTTTCAAGAGAGTTGGGGCTCTCTATTAGTCTGCGAGTGCAGTTACAAAGATCTCGCGGTTAGTCCCGGAACGGTCGTAATGATCCGGCAGGGCGGTGTCACTCGCCCTGTAGTGGTTGCGACTTCCACCTGGTACCACGTCCGATTCCTCCCTCTGGACAGTGCTGCTCAACTTAACGCGAGCGACCGTGGTCCATTCCAAACGGCCGTGCCGCCGCTCTACAGCATGGCGTGTGGTTGGGGAGAAAAAATGAGACTTAGGAAAAAGAATGGCTCTCTCGCCCGTTTGGCACCACGCCCTTGACGTTTAGGTTTCAACATGAGGCGCAGTGTGAACTCCCCGACTAGAGCTCGTTGTCGGGGTTGGTTCCGGACGACCAGCATCAATCAAAGAGAGAGGTGCTTTGGTCCTTCAACCCTTATTCCTTCTTATAAGGAGCAGGTCGCGCTGAGACTTTTCCCTTAACGGGTAGAGGTCTTGGGGTCGCGATGCAGGCATTGCTATCCCCCTTATGTTGAGACCTGAGACTAAAAAAAAAGAAAGCTCAATCTCTTGCTATTTCCATGGTCGGCCCGACGACCTTACATCAAGTTGCCTAGGGTCCCCTGGCTATGCAATGCAATATTCAATCTTCAAATACTCAATCCCATGCTATTTCCAAGGCTGATTCTCATGGCTGGTCCGACAGCCTCTCATCAACAAGGCCACCTACATGGCCGGTCTGACGGTCATTTTCTCAATAGCCATTTCTCAAGATTGCCCCTTCCGCCCATTCACTCCTCAATTCTCTCATTCCTCAGCACCCAATCTCTGTGACCGTCCCAACGGTCCCTGCCCTTCTCGGCTTTAAGGCTCCGCCTTCTTTATCCTGTCCTTCTCATTCACATCTTTCTTCCGCCCCCTTGGCTATTTCAGTGGTCGACCCACCGGCCTTTTCCATCTCTTCCGTCCATCCCATTGGCTATTTCAATGACCGACTCACCGACCTTTTTCATCTCTTCCATTCATCCCATTGGCTATTTCAATGACCTACCCACCGACTTTTTCCATCTCTTCCATTCATCTTATTCGCTATTTCAACGACCGACCCACCGGCCTTTTCCATCTCTTCTATTCATCCCATTGGCTATTTCAATGACCGACCCATCGACCTTTTCCATCTCTTATTGCTTATTCCAGCACATTCTCAATCAACCTTTCTCCATCAAATATGCAGGGGACCCCAGTGCCTATTTCAAAAGGAATGACCCTTGTCAGGGGCCATTCCCGAACAACCTGGTTAGGGACGTTCTTTTCCATTCTCAAGTCGAACAGTCTGGTTAGGGCCATTCCTTTCCATTCTCAAGTCGAACAACCTAGTTAGGGCCATTCCTTTCCATTCTCAAGTCGAACAGCATGGTTAGGGCCATCCCTTTCCATTCTAAAGTCGAACAGCCTGGTTAGGGCCATTCCTTTCCATTCTCAATTTTAGTGCCCGAGGGGGTGGGCCTCGAGGTTACGGATCCCATTTCTGTTTTGGAGATTAGAAGGTGGCCATCTCATCTTTTTGCGTGCTGTTCTCTTTCTTCCTTCTCTTACAGTAATGTACTATCCATTCCATTTCTCACAGTAATGTATCATCCATGCGTACATCCGACTTAGCGTCTAGCACTCGAGTTGGGGCTCACGACCCCAAGCAGCACTAACCCACCCGGCCGTTCATCCATAGCAAAAGACAAAGGCGCCCCTTCCATTTTCACTCTTCCTGATCACTCAGGTTTCGGCTATTCTCAGTCTCATTCATGACTCAGTTGGATTAGGCTCCTAGGGAAGGAGTGTTCTTCACGCCCCTTAACCCATAGGTTCCCTAACCTCTCTTGTACTCGACGAATCATTCAATGCCATGGTTCGCTCGTCAATTCGTACTCAAGGTTTTCCCCTCTCAAAAGCATAATCCTTATTCCATCCAGAATTCACAATACACCCTCTCCCAATTGGTCTCATCCCAAATCCCATGTCTTTGTCTTATGTACCCAAGGTAGCTCATCCAAAAAGTAGCCTAAAAAACTATCTTCTATCTTATCGTGACACAGCCTTAGCTGGCCCTCTTTTCACTTCATCCTTAGCAAGCTTGCCCATATTGTACACGTTTTCGTCATTCTCATGTCCCCGCAGACAGAAAAGCAGCGATCCTTTTTAATGCTAAGTCAACACCTAGTTCCTATTGCTGCCTTGCGCCTCGTCTTGCCCAGTTCCTTGTCCACCCTGTACCTCGGCAGACTTTCTAACCCCCAGGCCGTAGGTCTCGATTTCTCTTTTCATCCTTACAATTTTTCGTAACTCTGCCTCATTGAAAAAATCAGTGGTGTGGCTTCCACCTCTGCGCTTGCGAGTTCCCGAGTCTTGATAATCCATTCGTGCCTGATCACATTGGTCCATTGCTGAAACCAATGACTGGGCGTTGGCCCGAATTCGTCCTCCCATCTCAAAGCCCCGTCGCCCGGCTGATGCATCGGAGGCCGCCCCTCTTCCCTAGGCCTCGAGATCTCATCCCTCTCATCCCCGCTGCTGATTTATATGACTTCTCGCACATCCTCCTCCTCGTCCTCCTCGTCTTCTGTCTGTATGGGGCTATATCCACCTGCAAGGTTCTTTGGATCGTAGGTAAAAGGAATCTCTGTCCCCGTCCCATACCCCTCGCACTGTCGTGGCCGCTTCGTCCTTCAAGCGGGCTCTCCCTTCTTTCCTCACCCTCCTCATATCCGTCGCGCATGTCTTGTCCCCCCTCGCTTTCCCCATGCCAAGTCTCACGTCGCTTGCCGCTATCGACTCCTTCCTCGTCAGAGGCCTGAACCTTATCTCCCATCTCTGCATTGCCTCCCTCTTCCACTTCTGCCTTTTCCTTCCCTCCCTCACTGTCAGACGAGATTTCTATACCTTCTCCCTCGCGGAGGGGTGAGGGTTTCCTACACAAGCATTTCCCTCCTCCCCTGCCTACCACTGGGCCACCCATGAGTCCTATATACAACTTTCTCTTTGCCGCTCTCCTCCCTTGGCTTGGTCCTACTTCCTCCCCTCCGGTAGGCCATCTTCTCTTTTCTTTTAGACCCTGTATAACAAAACAACACTCGCAAAGCCCCTCATGCACCCATTCCCCCAGTCTGGTAGGTAGTCCCCCCCCTTTTCCCAGAATGCTCCCAACATCCTTCACAGCATGCCCTTATTATACATGCGAATGCGTCGTTTGTGATGACCCCATTTTTTTCCCGTCAAAAACTATGGTACAATGCCCCATACATCCCTTCCCGTTGTCACACAAGCCAGATATTGCAAACCCCCAAGTCACACTGCCTTTCAACCTCAGTCAGTCCAAGCCAAAGCGCCAGTCCCCAAAAAAAATGACAGTCCCATGAACATGGTCAGAGACAAACCATAGTGTGGGCAAGGCTGTGGTCAGTCTTTAGCTTGTGACTCCTCAGTTTCCTTATCTTCGGCCTCCTGAAGCCATTGTTCCACTGGGTCCCGACTTAGAAACCTGACCAATCGTTGCCCCTGGAAGGGCCCTTTCAATCCAGTTCCATCCAAATCTTCCAGTTCGAAGGTGTTCAGTCCCACCCGCTTGGCGACCCGGTAGGGGCCTTTGAACCTCCTTCCCACCTACCCCGACCAAGTACTTTCTAGTGCCGAGTTCCTTAGCAATACCATCTCCCCCACTTGAAGTGGCTCCTTTCTGACATTCTTAACCTGGTCCCACCTTGCTTTGTCCCTCATCCTGCTGTCCAGTACCTGGTTGGCGATGTCTTCCATGACCTCCTCATTCTTAAGGATTTGTTGACATCTTGCCTCGATTAACTCTTCAGTGGTCATTTGCGGATCATCATCTAACCTATTCCAGATAGGTACCAAGGCTTCCACAAGAAAGTCGGTTTATCATATCCGCTGCAAAGACAGCCTGCTTAAGATACCTAGGCCAGTTCCCCAGATGGTCCGCTGCGAGCTTTGCAATCGTGTTCTTCAAGGTTCGGTTTAAATATCGCACTAAGTTCAAAAGAAGCACGCCCCCTTTCCACAGGTGCATTGGCCTCAGGGTGATACGGCTCGATGAGTTTGATTGGTACGCAGAGTCTCTTAAGCATCCCCAATACTTCTTGGTTCACAAACTCCATCTCATTGTCTGCTATAAACCTCCCGCCGAACGGATGCCTCAAGTAGAAGTCTTCTATCCAGTCCGCCACACTCCTCCCTGTCTTTTTCTTGAGAGCGACTGCCTTCACTAACCTGCTCAGGTTGTCTCCCGCATCCAGGATATACCTGTACCCATCCGTTGATACAGGCATGACCGCAAGGTCGAGGTGGACCAGATGCCCCGGCCCTAGCACCCGCGTTGGTCTAAGCGGCTTGAAGACCCGCACCGAGCTTCGTTCTTGGCAAATAAGGCAAGTCTGGCAGTATATGGCGACCATGCCTGCCATGCCTGGCCAATAATAGAGTGGCGT